CTGACCACTGAACAGAATAGCTATCGAGTTTGTTTTCTTGTTTCTCAGCCTCTTTTCATTGTCTTCGGAGCTGTGCAACAAAGGTGTGATATTTGTTTGTCTTTTGTGCCTGATCGGGGCAATTGGCTCAAGTCAAGATGCATGCGGCATTTGGCTATTGTTGCCGACTCCTTGTCAGCATTGTCACGCCACGCCGCAGTTGTCAATTAGACACTGGATGCCCTCGGTTGCTAGCCAAAATCCAATTACGAGTGGGCTATTGCCAGCCGCTTGACCAAGCCACCAAGCCAGCTGGCCGGGCCCGAACGGGCCTCAAATATTGTCATGCCTTAAGCTGGCTGGCACGCGTTGCCACAATGCTGCTTGAATTACACCTTGTGCGGCTCTTTCAGCTTGCACCTTTTGTATCTCGAGTAGATGTTGTAATAAGCGCAGATTTCGTCTCTTTCTTATCGTAAGTAGCTGTTGTGATAAGCGCATAATGCATAAGTCGAGGCAGTAAATTCTTCTCTATGTCGTCAAAGATTTTCTTGAGGCAGCTTAGCTCTCTTTGACTTTGGATTCGCTTTATTGAAATTCTAAATATACGAAATTCTCTATGAGATATACATTAATATATGCTTGAGATATTTCTCTATTATAAATCACAGAATAGCCTCTATGCTATTTTTCTATACAACTGTCAATCTGTCTTTTGTTTAATACCGAAATGCTTAATTTTTGACTTAGTCAGTAGGTTTTTTAGATCTAAAGAATTGTCTTCAAGGTGAATATTTTAAAAAACAATAAGTCCATTTCCATATTATGTAATGTATTAGAAGGTAATCCCCGTAACTGTCAGCTGGTGCGTTAGAAGTCTACAGAAGTCTTATTGGCTCTACTTTACGGTCTTCTTTTGTTCTCCCTTATAAATATGCTAAAAATGTGATTTATTCTATTTTAATAGCATATAAATCTTATTCAAATATTGCCTAGAAATATTGATAATTATGAATTATATTATAATTAATCTGGATTTTATGAATTATATTACAATATTATAATTAATATGAGTGAGATTTAAACTAGATGTTTGAGGAAAGATTGGCGTGTAAGAACTGGCAAATGAGTGTAGAAATTCCAGTTCAAGCAGAGCTCCAAAGCTGACAATTAGATTGAGTCTTAAGCGAAACATATAATAAATCCTGATAGCCTTCTGTATATAATTAATATCTCTAATTTGTTCAATTCGAATTTCAATTTATTTCACTCTTTGTTATAACTACATGATTTTGTGAATGGTATTTTACAATATTTTAAGAGTTTAGGCTAATACATAGTACTTTTCATATCTCTAATATAATATCACTATATTTCTAATAAAATTGTCTTTATAACACTCATCTATTCCAATATCTTTATTATATCTCTAATAATATTTTTATCTATTTTTAAATACCATCTCAAATAACATCTAATATCTTCTAACACATTCTATGCCCCCAAAGCTGACTCAGGGCAATACCCAAAATTGCCAATAGCCACATATTAAATTATATGGGATTTAGCCTAAGTGACACTTGGAAGCATATTGAAGACAAATTGCTAAGCGTAAAGCCCAACTCAAGAGCATTCAGATGCCAAGTTAATTATAACTTATCGCATAGTTCTCAATTAAAGAAACATGTTGCTTGCTGTTTCTCTCTATCAATATTATTATTATTGTTTTATTTTTTTATTATTATTTTTTTTTTTTTTAGAGGCGTTAACAATTTTTTCGCTTTTTTCAATTTTTGTTTTCAAATAATTTCCTCGTGAATTATTAATGAAAAATCATTAATTGAAATATGTATATTTTATAGTTGCCTTGCACACATTCGACATTTAAGCGCTTCAGTATTTATGCCTCGGCTACAAAAAGTAATACCAGAAAAAAAAAAGAACAACGTTTTTAATTGAATATTCATAAGCTGCGCTTTGTGGCGTCATATATACATTTATAGAGAAAGAGAAAGAGAAAGAGAGAGAGAGAGAGAGTTGTGTGTTGAGGGGGGTATCTCGCTACACAACTGGGGCGGGTCAAGATCGATGATGTCAAGTTAGAAAAGGGTCTTAAGCCCGGATCTATTGTTGTCCAGTTGCGGCTTAGAACTGTTGACATATGATTTTGAAGCCGTGTTGTAAGCCCTGCTGCTGCGGCTTTTTCTCTAAGATCTCCCGCTGTGCATATTGACAGTTATTAAAGGCCACGATCGATGCTATAGCAAAGCCAAGCGTTTATTTAGGCTCATGCGCTCATCTGCTTTCGATTTGGTTTATTTTATTCGTCTTTTGGCTTTGCCCATTTACGTGGGCCTAGTACAATTATTGGCTAAGCCGTCGAAGCTTGCCCACAAAAAATGTTCGAATTTTGAAATTTTCGATTTGAAATTTATAACACATTTTAGCCTTTTATGCGGCGAACCAATAAGCGTCAGCACCTTGTCTAATTTGTTATGGTAATGAAAATTATGTTTATGGACAAAGCCATGCAAAATACAAAATCCAAAACCGAATTCATATACACACACAAATATATGGGACAATGTGAAAGATTGCGGGTATAAATCATGATTCCTCGATCTGCCAACTCATGGCTGTCTCTGGTACAATATTTACAATTCTTACAACATTATATTCCATTGAATCCTGTGGGTGGCTCAGCACTTGCGTCAGAGTTCACACAAAGCACACAGCGGGCGGTTGTTAAGATAGAAGATAACTGAGGATGTGACTGACTGGGAAATACCAAGTACTTAGCACTTATCATAATTCTTAAGCTGTGTAGACATTTCGGTAGTCAACATTTCGGTACTACTCATATAGATTATAAAAACAAATATTACTAGCTCTACCTATGGCATTGTAGAATATGTATATACAATTTCAAGACATTAGTTTCAGTAGATCTCAAGATATGTAAAATACTACTGACTTCATATATCATATCATTAATATGCTCATATATCTATATTATAATTTACTTTCAGCCTAACCAGCTGTAGCCACAACAGTCATACCCTCTCCTCACCCAATTTGCTTGGGTATATTTGAACACAATTTCTATAAAACTTGAGTTACGGCAAATCTTTTGGCTTCAAAATCGATTAAACGCTTCGCAGTCCCAAAAATACAAAAATACAACAACAACAAATTCAAGTATAAAAAATCAAAATACTTTGTTGGCCATGTTTTGAATGAACAGATTTGAATTTAAGCGACGTCATGAGCCTGGGCCACAAAAGATTTAGAAATTAAAAACGTTAACTAATGATAAACGCGCCTATGATACGGAGACCCCAACTGCACAGGCTGCCTCTGCAACACAGCCAACCTCTCCCCTGCCCCCACTCGATTTGGAGCCACATAATTCGAGTGTGTGGGCTTGGGACATGGTCGTCAATCCGATATACAAAAATCCGTTTGCCATATCGTCGAGCATGTTGCGCCCCATGGCGCGATTTGTGTGCTTTTAATATTCACCGACTCGCGGGGTTCACTGAGGCTGCGACTGCGGCTGAGGCGGAGACTGCGACTGCGACTGAGGCGGAGGCTGTCGTCTGTCTGTTTTGAAAACTCATCGTTTTCGAAAAGTTATTAGTACGGTTTGTCCAGACAGTTGATGGCTTTGAATAGGCACCATGGGCATTGTTTTTAGATCCACCAAGCCAGCTCCCCCTTGTCCCGGCCTGGGCCCTTACTATATCCATATACAACTAACGCCGCCTGTTGCGTCCCAGCGGGTTTTTAGTTCAATATCTATTCAGCACGTTTTCTAGGTCAATCGAAAGGTTTTTACATGTGCATCAATTAAAACAGCTATAAGCCAAGATCTGTATATACCTAACGGGAAATGCGTGGGTGTCTATCTATAAGCAATGAGCTTGAAAATTAAAAAGCATTTCAGAAAACTCATTTTGGGCTTAGGTTTTATCAATTGTGTAGGGCGGTAGATGAGTCGTTTAGATGAGTCTTTCATAATGTCTCTAATATCTTTGATAATATCTATAAAATATCTATAAAAACTAGGCAAGAATTAAATGAAGGAGAAATTGAATAAGAGCAAATGTTTGTATAGAATATGCCTATAAAGTAGCGAAATAAATATATATCTTATGTTTATATTTATTTTATTTTCCTATAGAGCTTACAATATAATTCGATCTTTTCAGTTATGCTTGAGTCTCTAAGTTTCTTTTACATGGGAAGCTGAGTTGTCTATGATTTCAAAGAATGACGAATTGCAATCTATGGGCGTGTAATATGGTATCATCTAAGAACTGTGAAGAGCTATAAGACATATTCTGTAAGTACTGTTAAGCAAAAAGATATTGCACGAATTGTATTCATACATAATTCTTGCTTAAATTTAAATTAAAATTCTTTAAGAATTATAAAATATTGCTTTGAAGTAAATCCAGTAAAAATTGATAAATTTTCCAATTTGATAATTCTTAAAAATATATTTAAAATTATGCAAAGAACCTCTATAACGTGTGTCATTTCAAGAAGTTTAACTTATATAGAAAAACCTGACTCAGCATCGAAATCATGTCGATCTTTGCTTAAAACAAGAATTGAAAATAAATATTGTATCCTTTTAATGTTTTAGCATTGGAAGATAAGATATAATAGTTGCAAATGATAATTTTAATTTAGATAAATAGATCAAAGAAAAGTTTCTTATGTGAAATTTCTATATAGCCAGAAAATGAATATATTTAATATTGAACAATAATTATAAACAGAATTTTACAACAATTCTGAAAGTTTCTTAAGATCCATTCAGTCCAATAAGTATACAGTTCTAAGCCAAGATTTATGAACCATGTCTAGGGCCTAACTACCCAAAATTATCTGTTATTGTTCATATTTATAGTAAACAACATTCATCTACTAAAAATCATCATCATTCAGTGGACTCTCAATATTAAAAATTCCTTCCAAACTCCCCTTAAATATCCCTTAAACCTAAAGCTTACCTTCATTTTAATTGCCTCCACAATTTTGGCGATTTTTAATCCAAGTCTTTTGCACAAAAAATAGTTATTAAGCCAGCTTTTTGCTGTTGTTTTTATCAGTATTCTTATAGACGATCTATGCAGATCGAAATGTTTTTGACGACTTGATCAGTTGGTCAAGCGTCCAACAATTGACACCAAATGCATGCGAATTGATTGCATAAGTGATATCGAGACAATAAATGCGAATGTGCGTGTGCGTATGTGTGTGTGTGTGTATGTGATAATAGATATGAGAATTTTGCAATAATTTATAGCAACACTTTTTGTTTTTGTCGATTAATTAGCACATTTGAAATTTTGAAAAATTGTTCACTGATCTGCGATATTTGTATTCCTTTAAATATTTTTTTTTTTTTTTACATATTTTATTTAAATTGAATTCAATAATTCTGATGATGTTTTTTGCCGACGCTAAAAATTAGCAGCGGGCTGCTTATCAGACGGCGCGAACGCGTGGCGCGATAACAGACGCCAGTTACGGACTTGGCGATATTGTAATGTAACTCCGGCTCTCAGACGTGTGAGTTGTTATTGTTGTTGTTACTGCTGCTGTTGTTGCTGTTGTTGTGGTTGCTGTTGCTGTTGCTGCTAACGGACAACGACCAGCGGCTGCGACGGCTCACGAGCGACACGTTGTTACAGCAGCGAGGCCAGTGCATAAACTGCCGGCGCTCTAGCCTCATAAGCCATGGCACAGCATGGATGTGACGACGACGACGGCGACGACCCGGTTTCGAGAGTGGTAGCAGCATAAAGCAAACACACAAACACAGAGGCACTCACACACGCACACACACACGCACACTGGTAGAGCCACCACCGGTTGCAAAAACTCGCTCAACTGGTTTTTCGGTTTTCGCTTGGCTCTTGATTGGTTGCCATGGCGGCCGCTCAAACGGCCACGCCCCTCACGCTAGCTGAGCACGCGTGGAACGAGTTTCGCCCAACGTCCCCCATTTTGAGTGGAATCATTAAGCGTGAGCCCTGAGCCAATTGAGTGCGCCGGCGCGTGCCATCGCTCTCAAATTGAGTTCGGTTTGAGTTGTATTGAGCAGGTTTTGCTTCTTCTTCTTTACGTTTTTGAGCTTGTGCCGTTGCTGGCCATTGGGTGGGTGCTCTGGATGCTGGATGCTGGCCACGCTTCAATGCAGCGTAGCCGAGCGGAAGCAGAGTTGAGCAGCAGCGGCAGCAGCGCACTTGACTTTTTTGGGGTCAAACCGCTTGACGGCAGCACCCAAAAAAGCCAGCCTTACTATAAGCAGCTAAAGCTGACAGTTCCCCCCAAAACATTTTCGCATTCAAGTGCGGCGATATGTGCCGGATGTTGCCAACGAGCAGCGAGTTGGCCATTTAAATTTCAGCATTAAGCGACACACATAGGCCAAAGCAAGAAATAGGCAAATGAGATGGAACTGCTCCCAATTTTTATGAGATTGAAATGGCAGCATCTTTCGAGCAGCAACAGCTGCTGCTTATAATTATGAAATATGATTTGTCTAGTAGAAATGCTCATCAATGAGCACTACTTGTTAGCAGTAGCTAGTGGCAAGTGAGTTGTTATACAAACAATTAATTGTTGTTTATGGTAACAAATAGCAGATTCGTTCGCCATTTGAGCTTTAATTGAGAAAAAGTCTGTGAACGAGTGGCTTATTATAAAAACTATTGTTAACTACATCTACTTTTACTAGCGTAATTGTCGCATGTGCGCCTAGTTATGCCAGTTGATTAAGATTTCAATAAAAACCAAGGATTTATTCAAATGCTCACCGAATCGCTGTCCTTTGAACATGCATAAAATTGTGATTTCCATTCGAATTAATCCAAGATAATAAATTCTTAATCAATATCACATAAATCTATAATAATTGAACTTTAACTAAAATTAAGTATTATATGTGTATATCACACAGTTATAGTAGTATAGTAATATAGTAGTAGGGATCGAATTGAGAGCATCAATGCGCAGCTTTCTCTGTCTATCGCTCCATACTACACACAAATTTATATACACATATAATTCGATTTATCCCACTATACTATATAAGTGTTGTATGACCATATAACTATTGTATACAGATATGTTATGTGAGACATATGTATGTAATTATATATGCATGTTGAGGTAAATCGAAAGCGAAATACCTTCAAAGAAGAGCTTGATAATTATCTGAAGATATATCAAATTTATAAATTATTTTTTAATATTTTTGCATTTGCAATATGTTTGCATAGTTGATTATTAATTTTTAATTAATTTAATTAAGTTGTTTATTTTCATTATTTATTATTATTTTATTATTTTTTTAAGATGCTTAAAAATTTTTAAATAAAAAAATTTTTAAATAAAAATATTAAATATAAATAGATGTTTAAAATTTTGCAAATATAGAAACTTTGTAAATTCTGTAAAATTTAATTTTTAGAAATCAACCCTAAGCCCAAAATATTTATATAAATATAGCACCTTCTCAAATGTTTAATGAGCTCCAACAACAGCTTAGCCCAGTTTAACTTATTCTGCTCCTGCTCTTCCCCGCAATTGCAACTATCACTAACACATTAAATAGCTGAGCTCTTTTCAGCCTTTTCCACACATGTTTACTAAATGACAATCGTTGATTTATAGCTACATTTGATTAATATATTACACACCATCGATAGGCAACAACGAGAACAACTGCCACAGCTTCCATTCCATATTCCATTTTCCCGTTTAGTTCATTAAACACTTTTACGTTCACACTTTGGACTTTAATCTCAGCAGCGCCTCAAGCACTTTAAGCACCACTCGCACATTGAGTAGCTCTCTATCTCTCTCCCTGTCTCTCTATCTGCCTGTCTCATTCTGCCTATCTTACACTCAGCCTGACACTTAAAGCCGCTTCGCATTCAATTGGCATTTTGCTGTCGCCATCATCAGCCTCTGAACTCTGAGCGTCCCTCTCTTGCCACGCCCCCGCCGCATGTGATCCACCTTCATGTTGCGTTTCACGTTATTTAAGGATTATCATCATTTTATACTGCCTCGCAATGCCTTTTTTGCAGGATTAAATGCTGAATGTCTGACAGCCTTTAGCTCTCTCTCCCTCTCCCCCTCCCTCATCCTCTCTCACTCTTTTTATCGCTCTTTTTGAATTGATTGCATTGCACTTTTTTGCGCTGTTGTTGTTGCTGTAGCATAGTTTGCGCTGCTGCCGCCACGCCTTCATGCAGCAGCCGCCCCCACTCTGCGCCCTTTACTCACGACTACAAAGTGATTTTTATGGCTTTTCGCTGCAAGCGAATGCATGTGTGTGTGTGTATGCAAATGTTTGACTACATGCATGCAAGCGTGTGTGTGTGTGTGCACTTTGATGTCTCCGCATTATACAAAAAAAAGGCGGCACTTTAATGCTGTCCATATATCACGAGCGCAAAGCTTGACAGCGACGTCAGCTCATAGAAAGCTTTAACACGCATACGCCCCGTGGGGTGCTGCATACATGTAGTTAGAGAGATAGACACAGAGAGAGAGGGAGACGGAGGGAGGGAGGTCGGAGACAGTGGCTAGATGTTGTGCTGCTTATCGTACAAATGCTTGGTTTAACCTTTCACTGGCCTCTTATCCTTTGGGCCATCTGCGTGCAAGCCGCACACAAATAACTTCATCTCGGGCCCAAAACCAAATTGATTAACAGTAGCCCCCGGCAGTTGCAGCGCCGCTTGCTCGCTGTCTCTCTCTCTCTCTCTCTCTCTTCCTTTCACTCTTTCTCTGTCTCGCTGGGCTGTCAACGCTTCCCGGAATGCCTTCCATTTACATGCCATAATTTTTAAATGTCAACGGTTTACAAAAGCGCTGACCATTTGATTTTGACCGCAACAGCAGCAGCAGCAGCAGCAGCCGCCGTTGCCGTTGCCGTTGCCCTACTCACTCCACTCCACACACTCCCCTCTCCCTCTCCCTCTCCCTCTCTTCTCTACTGTCTGTTGTCGAAAACAGGTTGATATCTACCTGTGCTGCAATCGAACCCTAAATATACTCATATCCCTTTTTATACACACATTTCTCTTAGACCATATTATATTTATTTGACTCTTTATTGAGCTGCAACCTGTCGCTGCTTGGGTTTTCTGGCCCTCTCTTGGCAGATTTATGGTTGACCCAGAATGTGGTCCGTCGACTCCAACTTGATCGCCCTGGCAAGATACGATAACGTAACCTTTAACGAAATTTCAGGGTAATTTGTTGAAGAAGAAGAACAAAACTGTTGGTGGCATATATATATGGATTCTATATATACATATCTATATATATATCTAATATATTGCCTTTGACTTTTGAGCTCTTCTCTTTTGTGGCTCAATCGCGCGTGTTATGAAGTCGTCAAGGATCCTGTGAAAGGTTACAATGACCTTATCATATCATCTATAGCGCATATCAGCCATATATTGTCTGCAGTTCGTGTCTCTTCATAAATTCCCCTGCATTTTCTTACCCTAACCCACTACGATGTTTGCATACGCCTATCCACCTTTATCTCTTTGTTTTGTTGTATTATTTTTGTTTCTATTTGCCTGACCTGTTTTCATATGCTCAATGCTAACATGTGCCCCCACAGTGGACTTCATAAATGGCCGAGTCGCTCACAGCCTTGAGCGACGTCCAATGCGTTTTCATAAGCAATAAATCATATGAGCAATTGTCCTGTTTACTCAGCCGTAATTTATGGGTTATGCCATAAGTATGCCCCATTACAGTGTCTGGTACTTGCGGTTAAACAGCTTGAAGGTCCTTTAAGGGTTGCTGAGGGTCTGATACCTATTTACTGAGCTCCAATTGCCATGGGTAAAACCCGTTTATAGACAACTCCGTTTGCTGTCAAAATTTATTAAGTTTTTAGAGTAGAAAGATTTTTGCATATGTAGAATATAATAATATTAATAATATAAAATTGCAAGGGGTAGTCTGAAAAATATCTTTAAAAATAAATATGACATATTTATATATCTATAAAAAATAATATATGTATATAAATATTTTTATAAAAGTCCTCGAAGCACTTCAAGTAATCATTTTGGAATCCCGTGTCCTTCAATGCCGTCAGCTCTTGAACCGTAGCGATCCTATAATGCGATCCATCATCCCATTTCGGTAATAAGAAATACTTGCTAGAGCACAGATCTGGGATTGATTGTGGCATGTCCTTAGCCGACATTTGCATACCAATTCCTTGATAAATTTTTGGAATAGCACCAATTGCAAATTAGTTAGGCGCGAGAGTTCGAAATTTCCCATACTTTTCGAGCCCACCTCTTTAGCTCTTAGCTAATTGAAATCATTTCTCAGTTGTTTTTTTTTTTTTTTTTGCCTTATACATTATGTATATATATATTTGTAATAACTCTCTAGTGTATATATAAATTAAAATAAATAAATACATTTTATTTATTTTTGTTTTTTTTTCCGTTATTTTTGTTTTTTTTTTATCATCATAATTATCAATATCGTAATTCTCGTCGGTAAAAACTCCGTCTTTGTCTTTATCTCATTTTTATCAATATTACGAGTACTTTGCGTGCTGTTTGTTCGAGTTGTTGTTGTTGTATAATTATAATTACGATGCGTTTTATCATTAGATTAATCATGATGTAATAATAATATTGTATAACATATTACCCCTCAAGGGTCTTATAT